TCCGATTAATCGACGTCACGCTTCTGATTCCACGTTCAGCGAACGCATTGTAGACCTGAGAGTACTCTGGAATTTTGTCATGTCGTATCCCACGATCAACGAAAAAGCTCTCCAGCTCCACAGAGCTGAATTAAGCTCCGGAGCGCACATCATCTGTACCTTAGGACGAGAGCTGTCACGATCCTCTTGTAACAGTCGCAGTTTGAAGTACTTAAACCTCCGCCTAAAAATCCTTCCCTCCTCCTCAACCTGCTGCAAGACTTTTTCTTTCAAGCTCTGGATCTCCTCCATCAATTCTTTCATCTTCTCCTGCGCCTCCCTCTGCTCCTCCTCAGCCCTTGGGCTGATGGCGTCGGGCTGCCGGCGGGGGGCGTGACGGTCCTCCAGCACCTCATCATCCAGCCCTTCGTCCTGCTCGTCCTGCGGCATCGGACGAGACGAGGCGGTAGGAGGGCCTCTTTCATGTTCATCCTCTTGCCTGACTGACTGCCAGAGGGCCTTGAGCTCTTCGACCTCTCGCTCTAGCGACATCCTCGTGTTGAACCAATCCTTCTCTCTCAGCTGCCACCTCTCCTTCATCCTCATCATGTCTTCCTTGGCGAACTTGGCCTCGCTCTTGTTTCTCTCCAGCTCCTCTTCCCTCCCTCGCAGCTTCTCCTCCAGCACTTCGATCTCCTGCTTCTGCAGGCTGTCCCGCTCGGCCTCCTTGCTCTGCAGCTCCTCCACCTTCTTCTTCAGCTGAGATATCACCTTCTCCTGCTTCCGGTTGTATGCGGGGTCTCCGACGGGGCCGGCAGGTGCTACCTTCTCCTTCTTGCCCTCCTCCTTCTCCTCCTTGGTCGCCTGCTTCTTCTCCTGCTTCTTCTCTTGCTCGTTCCTGCTGGCCAGCTGCAGCTCGAGCTGTTTGCACTTGTCCTTCCACATCTCCCGTTCCTCGAAGAGCTTCCTGTTCCTTGCCTGCTCAGTCTTGAGCTTCCTGACATGTTCCCTCATCGCCTCCTCCCCCACAAGATCTGCCTGGCTCTCCTTCTCCATGGCAACTCGAGCTGCTCTCTCTTCCGCCAGCAACGACTCCGCATCGTCCTTGAGCCTCTGCATCATCTTCACCTTCTTCCTCTCGTTCTCCAGCGAGACCTCCAGGAAGGAGATTCGCTCCCTCAGCTGGTTCGCCTCCATCCGCTGCTGTGCATTCACTTCTTGCCCCTCTCCCTGCTCCTCCTTCTTCTTCCTACCCCGCTCGTCTTGCTGCCCCTCCACCTTCTGTCGTTCCCTCACGGCCCCTGCGGCGCTCTGTCGGTACGACCTCCTGGTTGGAGACAGGCTCTTGCTCTTCCTCTCAACCCTTCCCGCTGTTTCAGCGTCCTCCTCCTTACCCTCGCCAGCTGCTCTGACCAGGCGAAGCTGCATGTACATCAGCACCTCCCAGCAGCGACAACGAAGACAGTAGACAAGGTCCTCCTCCTCCTCCTCCACCTCCTCCTCCTCCTCTCACCTGCTGCTTGCTCATGTTGCTCATCATCTTCGCTCCTCGGGCAGGGAACATGGCAGAAAACTTCTCGTAGGCAGAGCCTGCGGCTTCCCTCGTCTCCGACTTGCTGTCTGAAAGGCACTTGAGGACGGCGAATTCGACCGCATCCACCGCGTCCATGCGGCCCTTCCAGATGTCCAGACTTGTCTGCTGCAGCTTGTCGCGCGGCCAGGAGTCGAGGAGGAAGCAGAGGTACTTAGCGCAGGCAAGGCGGATCTTGGAGTGAACTTCGACATCTGCCATGGGCTCAAGGATGCTGCGAAGAAGTTTCGGGGAGGTGACGTTCTTCACGATCATTCCGAGCGACAAGTCAGCTGTGGACGAGATGGTCGGGTTTCCCTTGCAAACAGCTTTCAGCATCTCGGGGACGACAAAGTCAGCGAACAACTGGTCGTACTCCTTGAAGTCCTTGTTCTTGTCGTCAAGGTGAGCGGAAAGTTTCTCAAACGTGTCAGCCGCCTCTTTCACCAACTGGCTTCGAATCTCTCCGAACAGTTCCGACACAACCCGAGAGAACTCCGTGGACCTCACCATCTTCACGAGGGGAGGAGAGGAGAGGTTCGACCCCTTGCTGAAGATGTCTTGGAGCCTCTTCAGGGCAGACACTTTCGTCTTCCATTGAGTTTGTTTGTCCAGATCTTGCAAGATGTGCCTTAGAATTTTTTCCTGCTTCGAAACCGTCAGGGCTGAATGCTCCTGCGCAACTTCCTCTCGGTTCGTGACTGTCTCCTTGCTCCCCTCCTGCTTCACGGCTTGCTTCCCTTGTTCTTGGCCCTCTGAGATCTCCTTGCCATCTCCGTCCACCTGGCCGTCGGCTACTTCGTTACCCTTCGTATCAGCATGGTCGATCCTTTGCTGCATTTCAGCTGGTGGAGGTTCACCGTCTGCTTCTTGGCTACTTTGAGAGCCTTGAGCGTTTTCCTTGTTGTCGTCACCATCCTTGATCCCATCTTCAGCTTTCAAGTCTGACTCTTGAATCCCCTCGCCATCTTCCTTCCTGTCCTCCTCATCTGGTTCTTTGATTTCCTCCTTTCCTTCCTCCTTCGCTTCGTCCTCGCCCTCCTCCTTCGCTTCGTTCACCCCCTCCTCCTTCGCTACTTCCTTTGCTTCATCCTTTGCCTCCTCCTTCGCTTCCTCCGTCGCTTCCTCCGTCGCTTCCTCCGTCGCTTCCTCCTTCGCTTCCTCCTTACCCTCCTCTTCCGCCATGCTCTCCCCCTCCATGTTCGGCTTCTTCTCCTCCTCCGCCATTGTGCTTGTCTACCTAGCAGCCATGCTTCAACCAACCGTTGGGAATTGACCTCATCCCCACTCAACATCAAGCTCTCAATTCATAACTGATTCATAACGGGTGGTGACAACCGTTGAGCATTCTGTAACGGACAGAATAGACCCACCCCACCCCCTTTTTACCCAGGTACATTGTGAACATGTTTGCCCAGGTGGGGTAGTGAAAGTACCCCTGCAATAGAGTACATCATCAGGGGTTATCGTGTGGCTGGTAGCGGTGGTGGACGTGCAATGCTCATGCGGCGGGGCGAGAAGGGCATGAAGGGGATGAGGGAAGAGGAGGAGAGACACGAGAGCGATGAGAGGATGGGAAGGAGGAGAGGAGAGAGGAAGAGGAGGAGAGACGAGAGCGATGAGAGGAAGGGAACGAGGAGAGGAGAGCGAAAGAGGAGGAGAGACGAGAAAAGATGGAGCAGAAGATATAGTGTGGATGAGCTCTGCGAGGGAGAGATGAGGTGGAGCTGGAAGCAGACGTCTCAGAGCGGGGCGGAGGAGACTCCCTCACGGGAGCAGAGAGGATGTATGTTGGTGAGAGAAGGACGTGGGATGGAGCAATGGAGATGCTGTGTCCAAAGAATATTGATGGGAATGTTGAGCTAGATGATTGAGCTTGACTGGGTATATACCGAAAGCGGAATGCTGCAAAAGGAAAATTAAGAAGCAAAATGACTTCCTTGAATTCCCTTGCCATCTGAAGATGAGAATAGCACTCTGTGATATTGATGCTTCTTGAAGGGGGTTAGATGAATACTTTTCTTTAGAATTCTAGAGGTTTTTGTTGCTAATGGCGCTGTAATGATTTGGCATGTTTTCGACCTGACGATTTGTACAGCATTATTACAGGAGTTGAAAGAATGCCGGCCATAATAACACAGAAGGACCTCAACTCACTTTTGAGGTAACACGTCCTCTCTCTCCGAGCGCGGGAGATTGACAGTGATTGAATTCAGCTTGTTTTCGGATGACACGAAAGCCATCGAGTCAGTAGCTCAGGTAATCCTCCGTGGCACATGCCCTCAAGAACCTGGAGGATTTTTTTACTCTGGTTGACTTATCTCGTAGTTGTTCCATCGTACCTTTGCAAAGACAGATCATTTTCGTGTCGCAACGGCGCTCAGGTGAATAAAACGCAACTGATGATAACTCGATTGACTTTCTTTCATTCCTTTGAGAGTTCTTGAAGTTCAATCGCATCTGACTCTGCATTCAGTCTGCTGATACAAGAGAGAGCGATCTCACTTACACAGCGCTTCTTTGCGTTCTTCATTCTCTTCGACCTATATAAGGTTTGCAATGATGCTCTTGTACCCCACTGCTGATCATCATCATCAGTCTGAAGCTCCCGGAACGAATCCCTTCCTTCCGATCTTTCTCGATGAAGTCAGTGGGGTGCACTGATAGCTTCTCACCTCACTCGCGCCTGCAGCTGCAGAAAGACTTGCAAATGTGCGAGAGAAAATTCCTCCTCAACCTCCTCTGCTACCCTCCAAAGGTGTGGCCTATCTTTCAACACTCTCCTGCCAACTCCTGTCCCTCGCTCTCTTCTTGAGATGATTTGTTGTATTCGTAGGACTTGCCAAAGAAGTCGCCGAAGGAAATCATAGAGCAGGTGCAGTCGACAAGCCATCGCAAATCATGCTGGGATGCTTATCGCTGATGTGTGCAGAGTGACGCGTTGACTCTTGGAACGGAGCCAGATCTCATCGCGATGCAGGAGGAGTATCTCAAGAAGATGGTGATAAGCTTCCCTTCTCTTGCTCGTCATGCGCGTCACATTTCCGCATTCGTCAGGGCAACATTAGTGGATTTCTTCCTTACGGCTTGTGCCCCATCCTCATGGATCCGGACATCGCGACCGACGATTCTGAGTTCGAAGAGGCCGAGCTCATGCCAAACTTGACGGTGAGATATTGTTGCTCCCCTTTCAGCCGCTAAAGGATGTGATGCTTCTAGGATGAACATGGCAGCGGGGGGATGGTGGGGTACGAACCTTGCTTCATCAGGCCGCTACCGGCTCTGCTACCTCCTGGTGGAATCACGCAGGAAGACGAGGTTTGAGTGTATCTTACATTCCTTTACAGACGATGACGAGGTGCTATGGCTACATAAGGATGAAGATCACAAGGTCATGAACCCTCCCCTTCCTCTTCCTCGAAGCGCTTCCTCCCTCATCTCACTCGTCGGAACAGGTCATGTGGGACAATTCCATGTGTGCCGAGGGCAGCAAAGGGAAGGAGGTGATGATGGTCATGCGGTGCCGAGCTCACCTCAATCACATCCCACAGGTTCGCGAGCTCATGTCGAAGGCATTCAAGGGGCCACTGCAGGTCTTGAGAACGAGCCCCCATCGCCTCCTCACTGACCTCCCGATGCAGACTGCGCAAGTACAACAAGTGCTGGCAGAGCTCGAGTCAGATGCGAAGCTGGTCTACCATTGCGGTAAGACGAGCGCGGATGCTTTGCAGGGATTGCGTGCCTGGGAGAGTGAAGGGGAGCAGAAGTGCGATGGCATGCAATGGAAGAGGAGGGAAAGTTAATCGTATGTGACCGCTCCTTCAGGTTTGACACCGAAGAGACTTCCAGAGCTGGTGGAGAATAATCCCAACATTGCGATCGAAGCTCTTCTACGCTTAATGTCCTCCAATCATATCACAGGTCTCGCAATCTCCTCCGCCCTCTTTCGATTGCTCTAGTTTGTTCCTCCACCTCACTTGCTCACAATCTGCACTCCTCATCCCACGTCAGTTTTGTTCTCTCCTATCCTCAATCCGTCTCTCTGCTTTCCTTCCCTCGTGGCTCACTTGTACCTCTACAGAATACTTACAGATGCTCGTTACTATGCCCATGTCGCTGCACTCGATGGAGGTTTGCTGCACTTACCGAGATACTCTCGCCTGATCTCCCGTCACTGCAGGTCGTAAATCGGCTGACAACTGCTGTCGATCTTCCAACCGAATTTGTACATCTTTACATCTCAAATTGCATCTCATCTTGCGAGAACATCAAGGAGAAGTACATGGTAACATTCTTGTCTGCTTGCCGCATCATGCTCATGTTTCGTGTGCAGCAAAACCGCCTAGTAAGGCTGGTCTGTGTCTTTCTCCAATCCCTTATAAGGAACAAGATCATCAATGTACAGGTTGACAATCGTCATTTGTGAAAGAATCCCTCTGACAGTGGCACGTGAAGGTACACAAGGAATTGTTCATAGAGGTTCAGGCGTTTTGCATTGAGTTCAGCCGCATACGGGAAGCCGCTGGGCTCTTCCGACTTCTAAAAACCTTAGAATGAAAGAGTCAGACTAATATTTGATTTCCAATGTACTTGTACTTTCACCCGTATTTTATTTACAATCACAGAAATCCTTGCTCTTTGTCCTAGTCTACTATACTTCGGCTGCGCTTCCTGACCGTACACAGTCTAGCAAAGGCAGTGATCGTTTCTTGCCTATGCCGCTTCCTCTTCCCCGAATCGGCGACGTTCGCCTCGTCTTCGAATTCTGCCACGTTGGACATTTCCAAAACATCCGAAACCACCTCACGCGAGACTCCTGACGCCACCAAGTGATCGTACTCATGCACCTCACCGTGATCAGCACAGAGGTACTGACACAAGACCACACTGAACGATCTGTTCCTTGCACCACAGACACCAGCAGTCTCCCACTTGACTCGTTGAGCTTTCGCAAGATCGGAGAGTAATTCCAGAGCATGGTACGAGAATCGAATTCCATTTGATTTCGACTCCATTGCAGTTTGTAGGATATTTACAGTCAACTGTTCGATCACTGGGGAGTGTGACTGGTGAGCCATCCTGAACAAGCTCTCCCAGATGTTGTTATCATTGAGCAGTGCGATCCTGTCAGCGTTCTGAACATAGGGTACAAGAGCTCTGATGGCGTCTGTCTGGATTTCTGTTTGTTCAATCTGCATGAGTTTTTGCAGAATTCCAATGTTTCCAGCTGTGCACATGTTGCTGAGTTGATTCTGATCAGATGCCTTTGCAGTCATGATCGCAACTGTGCGAGCAGCCTGTCTCCAATACCCCAAGTTCGAGTCCTTTGCAATATCCTGCAACGTCTGTACAAGAGAGTCATGGGCCAAGAGAACCGGCAAGGACGTTTTGTTCGACACAAGTCTTCCGAAAGCCATGCACAGGAATTGTCGGACAGTACTTTCTTCTGAGCATTTCAAAATATGTACAAGAGAATCAAGGTTGGATGGAACGAGCATCTTGTTCTGGATGTCGGATTGCAAAGCCATGTTGGCGATTGAGCTCGCTGCATTTGCTCGCAAACAAGGGGGAGACTTATCGCATTGCAATGCCTTCAACGAGACCTCCAACAAGCAAGAACGTGATGGAGCTTGCGACTTTTGAAGTAAGGAAGATAGCGCGCCCGTAGAGCCCATGGGGAGCGGACTCTCGTCACTAGAGCAGACACCAGCAATCTTGCATCCAAACAAAGAAGCAGCCGAGACTGTGTGATTCACTCCAGATGGTCTTGTTTGTCCGCCCGAGCTGCTTACATTGCTTCCAATTCCGAAGCAGATCTTGCTCTCAGCCGGAGTTTGCGACGGATTCGATGACAGCGATGCCGCACCGAACCCGAACATAAGCTTCGTACGAGGTTCAGGGTAGTTCATCGGAGGTCTGTGTGCGGCGACTGACATAATATTCCACTAGATATGATGTAAACTTGGACTGAAATTACAAGCTTCCAGCACAAGACTCAACAGTATGAATCAGTGAAAGTTGCGCATCATTGAAACACCAGTTTCTGTTACGTGAAGCTGACCAAATACAAGCTTGTACTCACGAGAAGTCAATGAACAAGAAAGGCTGGCGAAGCTTTGAAGTAGAAAGAGCGACGGAGGAAGGTTACGAAAGAAAAGGATATGAGGGCTACAAGAAATGCGCAGAGAGCGGCAGAAGCAAGAGCAACCAGGGGAGTCGACAGGGGCAGGGGAGGAGGATGTGCCGTATTGCGCGCGTGTTGCTGTAGGGTAGGGGTTCAGTTTCCAGCAGCGTAGGGGGGTCAGGGAGATAGGAGGGCTAAAAAAGTTGGTCCTACCACCCTCAATCGGCTGACCGTAGTCAAAAGTAGGGGTAGTCAACGGAGAATACTTAAAACTATTCTCAAAAGGGTGGGTTCTGGATGGTACTTTGAGGGGTACTTCCATGGAGCTACCCCACCAACCCTCCATTTCTGGGGAAAAGACCGGTGGGGTGATGAAACTTGGTGAACGGACAGGTGGGTGGGTGGCCAAGAGTTGGGGAGTGAGTGGGTGATACCGGGGAGACCGAGGGATGTGCAAATGGAGAGGTGTGACCCCGAATTCATCAAGGGGGTAGGGTGATGAAGATACCGGTATAATTCCCCGTTGACATATGGTTTAAGAAGGGGTACAATACGTTGAGTAGGGGTAGAGAGATCGGCAAGGTCTATGTCCTGGAAGAAGTAACGTGACTAGATCAGCAGTCACGTTACTCAACAAATCATGTCATGATTTTCATGACAAAGGTGACACAGACCCCTGCTTTAAACGGGATACTGAGGGGTGTATTACCATGGGTGGTGTCCATGATGCGAACAAGTGTCATGACCGTTGAAACATGACCAAGCCATGCAGGGGGTCGGGGTGCTCTGAACAAAAGTTTAGTCTCAACATGGGGGGGTAAGGGTGTGCTTGAGTTTGTCTCCAAGCAGTTCGTATGAAGGATCCTAGAAAATGGGGGGTAGTGTCGTCGGGCAAGGTAGTAGCCTGATAGACATGAAAGGGGGTTGGGGTGATTTTCCTTCAACGAATGGTGATCAGGTGATGGCTATTCGCCAAACGAAGAGGTTTGCCTCTGTTTACCACAGGAAAGAATACACCTGTTCATTAGTGGAAAAATAAACTTTTCAGGGAAGCTACTAAAATCGAGTATTCTAGAGCAGGGTCACATGGACACCCACACCTTTGAACACCCTGCAAAGGGGGTAGTGGTGTAGATTGAGCCGTGCAAGGGCCATGCACGAAACGTGATCTTATCAGCATGCATGATACCATGGCATGACTCACCGTGACCGTTAACGTTGCTTACAGGGCATGAGACCTCGAACCCTCACATGACTCTGATTGTCCTCGTACTGATCTTTAACTTAACTTTGAGTAAAGAAACTCGAGTTTACTCCGATACTGTCCCAACCCGGTCCGGCCAGGCCCAGGCCAGTGCGGGCCGCCGGCCGCGGCCCGGGCCGGCCGGAGCCGCGGGGGGCGGTGGCACTCTCAAGGCATCCGAGCCTCCGATTGTACGGTCACGCCACGTCCAGCGAGGCCTGTACTCAGTGACTACCGTTGCCCGGCCCCCGGCGGCCGCCTTGAAACGCGTAAGGGTCGTCTTGGTTTACAGGGGAGTTTTGTTAACTCGGTGCTATCTGACGGGCACGGCTGGCATGCGGCGATCCATCCGACGGCGCTGTGAGCACTGGCAAGTTGCCAAGTCCAGTGGTCCGGGCCGGGCCGGCGGCTGCGGCCCTGGGCCTGCCGGTGAGTAAAAAATTGTTATTTGATGGCAGTTACCTGGACCACCCCACCTTCCTCATAATTCTTGGTGCTGATACCACCCCTTCTATCAGCTCTGACTACCCCCTGTTCCCCCTCGCTACTTCTTGTGCAGAACCAAATTTGGACTTTATCACAGAACGAAGCATCAGGACTAATTTAGTTAATACAATTTGTATTAAACTATTCTTGTATTAGGGGTGTAAAATCACTAATTTCCAGGGGTTACGAGACTCAGGGGTGGTGCGTCGTTCGGCCGAGGAGTTCGCTCATATAACTGTTGAGAAATGAAATGAGCTAGCCGGGGCGCATCCAGGGGCAGGAGCGAGAGGAGGAGAGGGAGAAGAGGAGGGAGAAGGGGGGGAAGGAGAAGGTAAGACGGGGAGATAGGATGGGGAGATAGAATGGGGAGATTTGAGGGGAAGGGAAGAGGGGAAGGGGAAGGAGGAGCATAAAGGGGGAGAGGGTGAGCTTTTCATCATTAGATTGCTCATCATCAGATTGCTCCTCTAAAGCTTTGTACGCGTTCCTGCTTGAAATTAAGCCTGTGCCATGCATGCTCGAGATCTTAAGTGAGGGCTGGCTATGTGTATCGATGCTGCTGCTGGAGCGCCAGGAACAAGTGGATGTTATGTTTCTGCTCGACTCTATTCGACCAGAACATTTATTAATCGTTTGATATATGCTTAAGCCATGAACCTCGTACTGTATTGTGATTCACTGTTTTTTAGAAGTCAAGGGTGAGCTATGGACCTCAACTTGTCCTTGGACAGCAACGCCGACAACCGAAGGCCATGGTCGCAGGAGGAGGACGACCTCATAGTGCAGCTGGTGAAGGAACATGGACTGAGGAAGTGGGCCATCGTTGCCTCCCAGCTGAAGGGGAGGAGTGGAAAGCAGTGCAGGTAGTGCTCAGCTTGCCTCTTGTCTTGCCGTCCATTCAGTTGCTGATGGTAGGGAGCGGTACAAGAATCAGCTGGATCCCTCAATCCGAAAGGACCCATGGACAGACGAAGAGGACAAGATGATCTGCATTGCGCAGAGCAAGTTTGGAAATCGTTGGACTGAGATCGCCAAGTTCCTTCCGGGCAGGTCTGGACAGGGGGATTTCTTTGTGGGGTGACTGACCAACGTGCATCTTCGAGCAGGACTGACAACTCGATCAAGAATCATTGGTATTCCACCCTGCAGAGGAAGTCTGAAGGAATCTTGCGCAATGCTGGCCCCGGCGACGAGTCGTTCCTCGCTCAACGGCCCAACAACGCGCTGCCCTCGCAGAGCAAGACGACTACGTCGAACAAGAGCAGCCCCGGGACGGTAAGTGAAGAAAGTTTAGTCTTCTCTCCTCCCTGGCCGCTGAGGTGATCCAGCAGCGCAAGAGCCCGGGGAGGAAGAGCCCTCGGATGAACGCATCCCGTCCAGCGCCCATTGCGACCAATCAGGCTAACCCAGAGGAGGGAAGCGCCAGTTTACGATCATCATCGCGGTCAAGACCTGCTTCGTCGCATGTGAGCTCCACTTGTTGCCTTGAAGGGGACTCGATGTGAGTGAAGAGTACTTGCAGATCCAGAACGACCCTTTCCCGCAGTCAGATATCTTTCCTGAGGAGCCGTTGTTCAGCAACTCACCCTTCGACAACCCGTGAGACTCGGGCTGGCAAGGAAGATTGTCATGTGAGCTGTCAACAGGTTTGGGAGCTTCTTCAGATCACCTTCCGGAACTCCTCTCACTCGATCTGTGACAAGACGGTGTGACCAGTGACACAAGGCAGCGGGGCAGATCTGAAAGAATTTTCAGGTTTCTCATGAACTCTGGCTTCACGCCTAAGTCAGGGAGGAGCGAGAGTGGGAGAGCAGCGAAACATCTGGGCGAGGTGATAGTGGGAGGGAGGAGATGCGGAGGCAGCGTCCTGATGTCCCAGCCACTGCAGGAGACGGAACCAGCTTCAGCCCGTGTGCGATCGAGCAGGATCGCCAACCATCATGTAGACTTTAACAACCTTGGTGAGCAATGACCGTCTCTGACTGTTGTCCATCCTCCTCTCCATCCCCCCTTTGCCCCTCCTCCTCCTCCTTCTTGTCGTCGACCTCGTCCTCTCCACACCCCATCCCCCCCCCCCCCCCAGAACTCCTCCTCCTCCTCCTCCTCCTCCTCCTCCTCCTCCTCCCTCTCTTTTCAGCTCGCACTTGTAGTTCCCTGCCCTCTTCGCTGACTGGTGTGCCATGCAGCATCGGGGTTGACCCCCTCATTATCGGACTCTCCACTCCTCTCGGGTCTCCTCCAAACTCCGGTGGGCCCGCCTGTCCGCCCTCGTCATCTGCGTCTTCCCCTCCTTGCTAGCCACCTCTCGCTCCTCTTTGACGCTCGCTGCACTGCACTGACATCCAGCTAGAACTTTGAGAACATCGACATCGGGGGCTTCTTCGGGGATACCATGGTGGACATGCCGCGTTCAACCCGCTCTGCCAGGTCGACCGCGTCGTCCTCCTCCTTCCTCTCATGCTTCTTCCCCAGGAGCCCAAGATCAGCCAGGTCTACCAGATCCACGTTCAGCCCCTCCTCGTTCCTCAACAGCTCTCCTCGAGTTCCGCATAGCAGCAAGGAGCGGGGCAACGCGAGCTTTGCAAAGGATAGCGCAACTTCCTCCTCCTCCCGCTTCAGATCTCCTCGTTCTGTGGCAGCTGCAGCGGCTGCGGCAACCAACGATGGCAATCGCGATGAATCGTTTTCGAGGAAACGACCGGCTCCTCCTCCGCTGCAGGTGGACGAAGAGGTCAAGAATGGGCCGGCTTCCAAGCGATCAGCTACCAGAGCATCGCCGAATGTGAGAGGAGGAAGGAGGAGGGGGAAGACAGGGAGGAGGGGGAGGAGAAAGGGAGGGATGGAAACGAGAGGGAGAGGTACGACTCATGATGGTTTGACGCTGGTGCAGACTTCTGGGAGGCCGCCGAGGTCAACGAGGAGTGCTCGTCGTTGACGGCAGGAGAGGAACATGCTGTGCGTGGAGGAGGAATACGATTAAAAATAGGAAACAAGTTTGAAACCGAAGGAGCCTGCTGGTCCCTTGCCCGTCTTCCCCATCGCCTCTTCCTCACGCGATGATCTTCCCTCCGAACTCCGGCAGCTTGAACAAGTGCCACACCTGCTGTTAATCAGCTCCACCTCCACCCCAGCTAACGAGACCTTGGAGTTTGCGCCTCCCACCAGGATCCTCTTGCCGTCGAAGGCGAGGGCTGCGTTGAGGTACCCGCTGCTCACAACCCGCGAGAAACTTCCGTCAGCCCGGTAGAGCAGAACCCTCCCGCTGTCTGACACGGCGAAGAGTCCTAGAGCGTCCGTGAGATCCTCGTCTTCTCCCTTCCTCCTCCTCCTCCTCCTCCTCCTCCTCCTCCTCTTCCTCCTCCTCCTCCTCCTCCTCCTCCTCCTCCTCCGCTTCATCCTAGCCCCTTCCCATCCTTCTCTCCCCCCTAGCCCCCTTCCTTTCCCTCCTGTTCCTCCTGACTCTGCCCATCGCCTCCCCTATTTCCTCCGCATGCTACCGGGGGCGACCACCACGAGGCTCAGCGCCATGCTCAAGTTGGGCTTCACGTGGATGACGCGCAGCTTGGCGCCGCTGCTTCGGTTGAGGACGAGAACCTGCTGGCAAAGTCAAGAGAGGGAGGAGAGCAGCTGAGAGCAACTGCAAGGGAGGAAGGGAGCGATGCAGGAGGCTGAAGGGAGTCAAAAAGGAGGAGGAAAGAGGTATGAGGACGAGGGAGTGGAAAGAGATGCGATAGAGGGAACGAGAGGCAAAGAAGGAGCAGAACAGCTGGAGGCTTGCCGGGCCAGTATTGAAGGCTGCGTAGAGGTTGTCTCCATCGATCGCGACCCCTCGAGCACAAGGGCCGTCGGTGTAGGTGACCTGGGCGGCATTTAGACAGAAGCAGAGGAGATAGACAGAGGCAGGAAGCAGGAAGTAGGAAGTAGGAAGTAGGAAGTAGGAAGGAGGAAGGAGGAAGGAGGAAGGAGGAAGGAGGAAGGAGGAAGGAGGAAGCAAGAAGGAGGAAGGAGGAAGGAGGAAGGAGAGCAAGGCCAAAAAGAAGAGGGAGGAAACAACCTTCCAGACGACATTCAAACTCGGGTCGAGCTTGGTGAAGAAGTCGGAACCACTGCCGCAGTAGACCTCTCCCTCCTTGCTGATGGTCATGCAGATAGCTGCGCACGGCAGCTCGAGTCTTCGCTGCTCCTCTCCCTTCTTGTCATGCACGAAAACCAGCGAGCTGTTGGCATTGCTCTTGAGCCACAGAGTCTCTTCCTTGGGATGCCAGGCGCTGCGGAGGGTATGAGGCAATACGTTCTGAGAAGGCTGAGGGGAGGGAAGGGAGGAGGGAGGGAGGAGGGAGGGAGGGAGGGAGGGCGGCAGTGCGAGTAAGGGGGCAAGGAGTGACTAGTGCAAGCTGCAAGCAAGAGCAAGGAGCAGGAGACGAAGACAGGAAGGGCGAAGAGGGAGAGGCCGAGAGAGGGGGAGGGGAAGAGGGCATGATCTTACCAGCAGTATTGAACATAATTCGTCATCTCAAGGCTCCCAACAGGAGCGAGCTCCCCGTCAAAGCTCGCTAGCCCTCCTCCTCCTCTTCCCTCCTCCCTCTCCCTTTTCTCCTCCACCTTCTCCTTCTCCTCCTTCGTCTTTGGCTTCTTGACCCCGGTAGGAACTCCCTCCCAGCTCTGGTCCTTCCCTGTCTCTCCTTCCTTGCTCTTCTCCACCTGCAGCGAGTGGAGGTAGGCCAAGGGGGGAGACACTTGAGCGCTGTAGGGAGCGGAGGAGAAGACGACGGATCTCTCAGAGGGGAAGCTTTGATCGCACAGCAGCTGCCTCGTCTCCTCCTCCCTCTTGACCTGCTTCGGCGCTTGCAGACGGCGGATGACGGGGGAGCTCCACGCGCTCCATCCTGCGGCATTGCGAGCACGAACGCGGAAGCAGTACTGGCCGGGGACGAGATGCTTCTTGCTCGCGAGATCAGCCTTGACTGAGAAGCTCGTGGAGGAAGGAAGCGACGCAATCTCAACCCAGTTGCCTGACATGGAACAGAATCACAAGAGTAGCAGCAGAGGAGAGGAGAAGAGAAAGAAGAGAGAGAAGAGGAGAAAAGAACAGAACGAAGAGGAGAAGAGGGAGAGAAGGGAAGGAAAGCGGAGGAGGGAAAGGAAAGCAGAGCCAGGGAGGGAGGGAGAAGTGTTGGTCCTTCCACCTGCTTCAGCAACGTCGTCGCTTCCTTCCGGCAGCGCAGCGCACTCGAGCACGTAGAGCAGGATGGGGCTGGGAGCTGCTGGCTCGGTCCACTTGAGGTTGAGGAGGTTGAGGACAGAGCCCGGACTGGCCTCCTCCAGCGTGTCGGAGACCTCGGGAGCGAGCATGATGGGGGCATCGGGGACGCGGGAGAGGCCAGCGCAGGACCAGCAGACGTCCACGTCCTCTCCTGCCATGTGGAGGAAGATCTTGGTGGCGGCAGGGACCAGCTTGTGCGGGGGCTCTGAACAGATCCAGCAGGGGGTCTGGACGCTCTTACTCTCTTCCTTAAGCTTGACGGAGAAGGTGATGAGGTACCTGAAGGAGAGGAGAGAGTGAGAGGGGGGAGGGAGGAGGGAGGAGAGGGGAGGGAGGAGGGAGGAGAGGGGAGGGAGGAGGGAAGAGAGGGGAGGGAGGAGGCAGGAGAGGGGAGGGCAGAGACTAGTTGTTGCGGGGAGAGGAGAACAGAGCATGGGAGAGAGGTGGACGAGGTAGGAATTAAAGACGAGGAGGAGGCATTGAATGGGTGAGAAGAGAGCTCTTGAAGAGGAAGGACAGAGCGAGGGAGGCTCAGGACATTTCAAGACCTTGGGAGAGCTTGGAAGGCATTGTAGATGCTGTACATGTCAAAGTCCACCTCCTCCAAGGGGTTCGGGCTTTCTTTCCCATCCTTCTCGAGCTCGAACTTGTCAAACTCCAGCTTGTCAAGCCCTTTGCGCTTCTCGCATTCTTCGCAGGCGCATCCCATTCGTTTCCCCCCCTGCAGGTAACCCTCCAATTCCTCCACCTTTCCTTTCTTTTTCGCCGAGTCCTCCTTCCCCTTGTCATCTTTCATCTCCCCCAGCAGCTTCTCCACCTCTCTCAGAGCATCCGAGCTTGGCTTCATCCATCTCTCCACCCCCTGCACCAGCAGCTCCTGCCGCCTCTTCCTCGCCTCCTCCAGTCTCTTCTTGTGCAGCATCTTCACCTTGCGGGCTGCGTAGACCGAGTCGTACCCGGCCGAGCGAACGCGGTCGAGAGGAACGTGCTTGCAGTCTCTGCGGGAGTGCGTTGACACCTCCTTGTCAACTTCGTTTCCCAGCTCCTCCCTCTCCTGGTGAAGTTTCAACCAGTCGTCCACCTCCAGTCTGCCTCCTCCCTCCATCTGCACCGCTGGCTTCCACTGCCACATGTCCCCGCCTGCCTCCTCCTCCCCTCCATCCCCGGGGAAGGAAGACTGGTGCGAGCAGATGCAGGGCCGAGCTGCGTGACGTCCCCTGCTCCCCTCCTGCTGGGTCGATGCCTGCGACCGCCCCAGCCACACGTCCAACCTCAGCTCCCCTCCTCCCTCTCTCCTACTCCCCGACCCGATCCTCCACTCCACCGAGTACCAGACGTCCTCCTCGAGCCTCCCCAAGGTCAGGCAGGAAGGGAAGCGGGGATCCTCTGATACAGCTGCGTCCTCCTTTCTCCCTCCCTCCTCTCGGATCAGGTTGACGATCCCGTCGCTCCCCAGGGTGAAGCCGAACCTGCGGAACCTCTTGGTCCCCCACTCACCCTGCTGCAGGAAGCAAGAAGCTCGCATCCCCATGCTCAGCTCCCCGACCTCCACCGGCCCCACACAGACCACGTCCTGCTGGGAGGAGAACTTGAGGGAGAAGCACAACGACTCTCCCAAGGACACGGCCGAGCGCCTGGTCTCCACCAGCCCTCCAGCTGAAATCTTCATCCATCCAGTCTCGCTCAGCTTCTCGCAACCCTGAGGTGACGCCGCCCAGTCCGTCACTCTTGACATGCTCACGCCCGCTGCTGCCTCATCCCACTCCCCAACCAGCTTCTCCACCTGCTCTGGTACTCTCCAGCTGATGCCCACCGCCACTGTCATCGAGCATGTCACAACTCATATGCTCTCCCTCAATCCTCCCCTTCTTTCTTGCTCCCTCTATCCTCCCCTTCCTCTATTCCCCCCTCCCTCCTCTTCCTCCCTCTCCTTCTCCCTCTCCTTCTCCCTCTCCTTCTCCCTCCTCTCCCTTCCTCCTCGCTTCATTTCCCCACGCAACCTCACCGTCGCAGAGGAGGACGGAGTGTTTGCCGCGAGGAAACGCCCAGGGGTGCAGGCACAGTGGGCGCAGGGCCCCAACAAAGTCAAGACTCCGCCCGTGCTCTCCCTCCTCCTTGGGCAGCTCGAAACCGTCGGCACAGATCTGCTGGGGACTCTGCTGGCCGTTGCCAGCATAAAGGAGGCGGAGAAGAGGAGCGAAGGGATTTCTCAGCTGGGACTTGACGCTGTTGAACCTCTCGATCATGCCGGGAGCGAGCAGGACGCGCTGCACGGCTTCCAACTCCACCTGAGTCCCAGCTCGCAACCTGTACCACTTGCTGAAGAACTCGTTGGCCTCCTTGTACTCCTGCGAGTGAGCTGAGAAGAAACTACAGGAGGAGGAGGATGGAATAGGAGAGAAGAGCAGCACAAGAAGGGGTAGGTGGAGAGAGGAGAGGGAGAGGGAGGAGAGGCAGAAGAGGTAGGGAGGAGGAGGATAGGGAGGAGGTGCACGAGCGAAATAAAGGGGTCCAGAAAGTAGAATGAGCAGGAGAAGGGACTAGGAGCGGGAGTGGAACGAGGAACCAACCCACGAGGAGCCAACCCACCTGGCAGTCCTTGGGGAGGTTGGCAAGGGAGGGCCCGGCAGTCATGCTGAAAGTCTCCTGAAGAGGATGGGAAATCTTCTTCCACTCGTGCTCGCGTTTCCCCTCCTGCTCCTCGTTGGCTTGCTGCAGCTCATCTTGCTTGGATGTCAGCGAGTGGGAGGAGGATGAAGAAGTGAAGTCACCGAGAGGAAGGAGCTTCATGATCTCCGCACGAGCAAGCAGGAGCTTTCTGTGCCCGAGAGCCTTGATGCCGGCTACAATGCAGGAGTGAGTGAGGAGAGGAAGAGGAGGAGGTTGTAGAAGAAGAGAGGAGAGAAGAAGGGAAGCATAGAAGAGATACGAAGGGAGGCAAGAGGAATCAAGAGCAAGATGATGATAATGAGGAGGAGGAAACGCAGGAGGAGCAGAACGAGCAGGAGGAGCAGGAGAGGAGCAGAGAGA